GGGAGTTTAAATAATTGATTTAAACAAGTTTTGGATATCTCAGCCTGAGGAGCAGAAGTTTTCCGTATGCCTTTTTTTTTTTTTCTTCTCTGTAAGGACACTTTCAAGATGCTGCCAGCTGAAGTGAACACTTGACAATTTTTCTGTACATGAGCTGTGAGTTGCTAGGATTAGCTACAGCTGTAAACTCAGTGGTAGATTCTGCCTTGTGACAGATTGAAGGTGGGAAAGAGTAAAGAAGTTTGAGTTTCAAACATCAAGGTGCAAGTGGAAATCCCGTAAACAGTGTTAATGTGTGCAATCTCCCTTCCTGTCTTCTGAAAGTGCTATCTCAGCAATGTGAGGCCTAGGCTTTAACGTAAACGTTGGCATATATTGCTAGTCTGGGTTGTGAAATGTTTAGCGAATGTACTCTCAGGAGTTTGCGAGAGTGTACCCTTTGTGGTGTATCAGCTTTTGCCTGGAAATGTGTAACTCTAGTCAGAAAGGCAAATAGGCCTGACTTACTGGACAACTTTATTACAAAAGGGGAAACTTTGTTTCTGTTAGTGCAGGATGTAGAATTTAAAGGTAGAGTTTGTGCTGTTCTTGCAGGCAGGCCTGTTCCCAGTGGCCTGGAGAGTGCCTGAGAGGGAATCCTCTAATCAGAGGATTTTCTTCTGTCCAGTAGTGTAATTGCGTACAGTTTTCCCAGGCCTTACATTAACCCTCCCAACTAGTGGTTGACTAACCATCTTTAAAACCAGTTACTATCTGCTTTGATCCCTGTCCAGGGGCATTTACCGTGGGCTCTCTTCAGTGGCTGCTTCATACTGGTGCTTGTTTCTGAGCTCTGGCATAAATAAGAACATATGGAAGAGGGGATGTTGCATACTGACCTGGAGAGGTACACCCAACAAACTCAGGTGTGGGAAGGGCTGTGTGCCGCATTTAAAGGTGGACTTGCAGGTTCATGGGTTTTTAAAAACAGTCCTTTCCTCAGGTGGTTACCTGTTAAATGCCAGGCATGGCCAGAGTGTAGTTGTTCACATTTGTGATCTGGCAAACTCCTTTAGTTAGGAATACTGCAAATTAACCCTAGAGGTCACACAGTGAGCTGTTTACATACCATGTACAATGATGGCTTTATAATCTACTGTTATATTGGAGCTTCATAATGAGTAGATAGTAATGGCAGTGATCTTTAACCTGGCCACCTTCCATGTGAAGGACAGAGCCTGCAGCAAGTCCTGTTCTCTGCTTAGACCAAAGAGGAACAGAATAGGAGGGAGAAATTGTAGTGGGTCTTGTTTGCTCTGGAGCAGAAGGAAATTTGAAACATGTTTTAAAGTCTATGGTGAGCACTTCAGCCAGGTGTTTGGGTAGCAGTAGCATGACAGTAGCACTCTTTAGAGATGCTTTAAAAACAGCTGGCAAAACTTAGAGGCATAAACTTGGTTAAAATGATTTTGAAAATATTTGAGGTCTACCCCATAGAGAAAGGTTTCTACCCAGCACTGCAAAGGTTTACTATTCTGTTTAGTAAATAAGGCATCGCTATCTGGTAAAGAACAGTGATGTTTTTGGCTTGGTGAATGTCCTGGTTTGGGGTAAAACAGAACCAATTTTCAGTTCAGTAACTTTACTTTTTAGCTAAGCCTCTTCTAATTACTGAAATTAATAACCTATTGTGCAGAAACTCTGTTCTCAGAGTGATAAGACCTATGTTTATAGTTGGTGCCAAGGAACAGTATGCAGAGAGGCTCTTGCTTATACTTATTGCTGTAATACCCAAGGCCAACCAACTTTGCCCCGTTGGAAAGTTGGAAGAGGGAAAAAAAAAGCGTAGAGGGGTTGCAGTTGCAGGGGGGAGTGGACAGGGCAGGTGACCCAAAACTGACCAACAGGGTATTCCATCCCATCTGCCTCATGCTCGGTATAAAAGCTGAGGGATCAAAAGGGACAGCCTCTTTCTTCAGTGGCCGGCATCTGAGGAGGACTCTGTCTGTTCGTCTGCCTTTGATCCTGAATCCAGATTTGAAATTCAGTTCCTGTCCATCACTGAGTCCCGTCTGGGACTTCCCCAGTGCCAGCTAGTGACTTGATTGTCATCCTGGGAGCTTGGTACGGTTTCGTATATATTTCACTATTTTCTTTTTATTAATATTTCATTAAAGTAGTTTTCCTTCTAAACTTGTAAGTCTTTCTCTCTCTCCTGCCTCTCTTTGGAGAGAGGTAGGGGAGAGCATCTGTTGTTCTGCCCAGTGGCCAATCCAGCCCAAACCATGACACTGAAGTAATTTGCGTCCTTTTTACCTAGCTATGCTGCTTAAGACAAATAGAGAATAAGAGCTATCTCATGTAGAGAAGCCTTGATTTCACCATACCCATGCTTCTCAATTTCAGCGTATACTACAAGCCACAGTATGTCTCAATTCCCCATCACTCCACAACTTTCTTAGCCTTATCTCTGTGTTAGATTAACTTAACTGGTGCATAGCAACTTTCATGTGTTACAGCCAGCTTGGCTTCAGTAAGTATTAAAAGACATCAATCTGGTTTGCACTTGTAAATCAGTGAACGTTTTGGGGGAAACAGTTCTTAATGGAAACTTCAGGCTCTGTTAACCATGACCCTGGCACTGAATGGCTATGTTTGCTGGCTCTGATTGCTTTTTCCTCAACTATTTTGGCCCTGTCACTTCTCCAGTCAAACTGTTATGAAGAAGGATAAGTTTAGGAACAGTGGTCTTCAGTGACTGTTGTGTTAGAACGTAATCTTCCTCTTTTTAGCTCTAATTTGTGATGTCCTATTGCAGATGGGGAAGCATTACAGCCTTGTTGATTGCTGCAGTTTTTGGAGGCAAGGTATTAGGAGCGTGCTAGAAAAATCACATCTAGCCCTGTGGGGAATAGCAGTTTTTAGCATGATACAGAGAATGGAACTACCTTGTACAGCATGACTAGAAGGTGGTGAAGAAGTTAAGCTGTTCATCACCAGTGCAGAGAAACCAGCCTCAGACATGCATATAACCATAAGTCTTTGACTTGCCTTTTTTTTTAAAAGCCAGCTAATAGAATGCACAGATGCATAATTCTCATTTTATTAATCCACCGTTATTGGCTCATAATTTATTCTGACTAAACAGTGCCTTGAAACTAAATAACTTCTAACTTGGAAACAATGACTTGAGTAGCACCAGCTTCAGGAATTCAAGACAAATTATGTGCAGAGAAGGGTCTGTCAGGGTGGAAGAGGGACAGGTGTGTGTTAATTATTTTGGAGGCTTATTTTGAGGCACAGAATTGGTGGGTCAGTTGGTTCAGAGTAGCATTCTGGTTTGATTCATTTGCCTTTAGGTTGTGTTTATGCAGACAGCTTGGTGGCATATTTAAGACAACCTGGTTTGTATGTGAGGTTGGACAAATCTTTCAAGGCATTCATGTTTTCTGGTTTGGTCATTTGGAGGGAGATTGTACTGGCAGGGGCCACAGCTTCCCCTCTATGGGCTTAAAAAATTAGTATTTATTTAAGAGATGCTTCCTCCTTCCTATTTTTAAATGCCTAATGGTGTAACAAATGTTAGTACCCTCTAAAATAGATGACAGAAAGGGGGAATGACTTTTGTGGAGTGCTAACAAGTGGAGAAATTGAGGTGCTCTCCTCCCCTGCTCAGCCAAGCATCGCTTATTTCACTCTAAGATCTGGGTTTTTGATCTTGGATTCAAAAAGATTCGTGCTTTTCAAAAGTTGTTAACAGTTTATTAACAGCTCATTGTGTGGGAGCTGCCTTGTTGGCAGAAGGTGGGAGGAAGCTCTTTCTGAAGAAAACAAATGCTGGTGAAAACTTCTCTGAACTTGGTGTGGACTTGTGGGAGTGAGAGGAGAGCATTTTGATCTCTGTAAGGGCTTGAAAGCAAGGTGAAGCTTGTGACACAGCTTATGCATGTGTTATGTGCAGAAGTGTGATGTTGCTATCCACAGTGTCTCACTGGATAGCTGGCCAAGACCTGAAGATGAGTACGTATGTGGCAGCATATCTTACCAGCTATCAGGGATAGCAACTGTAGGAGTCACTGGAAGTAAGATTCATCTCGTCTGCTTTCATTTCTGTTTCATTTTCCTTTCAAACATGTCACAGCCACTTGATATTGAGACAGATTTCTTCCACTACCCATCTCGCTGAATTCCTATGTCTTTTGCTCAGGTTCCTGTGGAGCGCTACTTGCTTGCACCTCCTTGCTTGGTCCTTGGTGATCCCTCCCAGAGAGCTGGCTGCACTTGGGTCACTAATTAGTCTCTGTCTTATGAACAGTCCCATATTCTACCTTTCCTGTCGTCTTTGACTTTGTAACACAATGCTTGGCTGTTTGTACCCTCTTTTGGTTGCACCATACCTTCATTGTGCTCTTCAGCATCCAGCCTGCTCCCTGGCAGTACTCTCCAGGCACACCCCCTCGTTGGCACCTGCTTTCTCCTCCTGCTTATTAATTCTTGTTCTCATGACATCATTACTATTTCTGTTCTGCTCTGCCTCTTTGCATCACTTTTTTTAATCATAGATAGCTATTGGCTGAAAAAAGGAAGGATGAACTAATTTTGGTGTCATGTATAAATACCGTATGTCTGTTCATGTAAAAAAACAGGGTTTTCTACATTCTCTTTAAGACCTAGTATAGATGGGTAGGAGGTGCTTCTGCAGCCTTGATTGTTGAAGGTATTCTGGCTTTCGGTGGTTTGCAGCTGTTGAAAGCTTCAAGAGTGAACACTTACCTGGTTTCTAATTGTAGCAAACTGCAGTATCATTCTGAGTTCAAAGAACTGTTGATTGCCCTTTTGATCTTTATACTGCCTGGTTGCTGTTGTGCTTGTGTGTCCTCTTTCATTTTACCAATAGAAAATACTACCTAAGTGTGATGAGGTGGCTGCTTTAAATTAGTCATTTCCTTCCCTTTTTTAACATAAAAAAAAAAAATCACAACAATGTCTTTTTATTGTTTTTGTTTTGTTTTCAGCCCTATCTGTTTTGATATGATTGAAGAAGCCTACATGACAAAATGTGGACACAGCTTCTGGTAAGATTTTTTTGTATTGCGCAAAATGTCCATCTCTTACAGCGCGTGAAGACTGATGTTGCTGTGAATCCCTTTCCTTCAGAGATTTTGTTACTTTTCTGTCTTCTGTCCTTGCACTGGAGAAAGAGGTTGAAATAAAATTTTAAAAGATGGGTACCAGTTAAACACTAAGAAGACTTTTTTTTTTTAATTTAAAACAAAAAAAATGTTGTGCCACTGTATTTCATCTGTAAAGAAATAAAATGGTCATAAACTGCTCGTAGAACCCAGTCCCCAGAGTCAGAACAGTCTGTCAACTTATCTCTATTGGAAGTGGAAGATGTCTGTTACCACCTGTAGCAATGGATCCCACCTCTGTAGAGGTCATGGGAGTGACTGTTGTTGTTGGGAGGTTCTCCTTTTTGTAAGACCATATACATTTTGAAGTGTCTTGCACATTGTCACAATTCTCTTAAACTTTTTAAGAGAGGATGTGCTTCGGGTTTGTTTCTGTTCCATTGAATTGGCCCAAGGTCCACTTTTTTTTTCAGTGTGTTATCTCTGGCTGTCATGGGGAGCAAATGTTTCATGCAGAAGTACAAGAACCCTCCAGGGGCAGGTGTTGAGCTATCTGCTGCTCCTGCTCTCAACTAGGGATTGGAATACATGTTCAACCATGATATCTTTACGTCCTGTGGACACTATAGTCTTATGATGTTAACAAGAAATAAATTGCCTACCTTTTACAAGTAACCTTTTAGTAGCATAAAGCACTTCCTCAAGCAGCAGATTCAGTTAACTGTCAGAAATGTTTTGACATGCAACAGGTAAGGTAACAGCTGATTTTGTGCCTTCTATAGCAACACTTTATCCTTGTGATCTGTAACTTTTTAAAAAAATCCAAGATAAGAAGCATACAAATATCTTTATTTAGAAAGAACAGAACAATGTTGTCATGTGATGTCTTTACCAGCAGTCAACATGAAGCTAGGTTCTAAGTAAGATGCTGAAACTTGATGCTAAAGTGCATCTTGTAGTTACTCTGGCCCTCAAATAGCTAACAGCTCAACAGAGCACCTCTGAAATCACTTCTGGTAAGAACAACAGCCAGGAGGTGGGGGGAATGTGAGAAGTTGGTGAAGGTATTTCTTCTGTGTTCAATTACCCAAAATGGGCAATAGTTTTTAATGTTGCTTGGTAAGTATTTGGCTAATCTAGAAGAATTGTCTCTGAATAATACAGTCTGTTTGTTAGCTCTGCCTGTGGAAGAGGGGTATAAATTTGAGATGGAAGTGTGTCTGAAGTATCCATGTTGCCACAGTCTGAAGGGAAATAAGAGTAAAGTTCTTAAATACCTTTTGTAATCCTTGCCAAGAAACTTTGCTGTCTTTCTGCTGTAGCATGCTCTGAGTTAATATTGGAAATTTTTGACTCCACTGTAAGAACTTGGCAATGCAGTTGTTCGCTGGCAACACAAAGTACACATTATCTAAGGTTGATATTATTTACCTTGTGCTTATGTTTTGTTCCTTCATGCTTGCTCACTTGTTTTGTTTCTTGTTTCTTATGTTTTTGAACAGCTATAAATGTATTCACCAGAGCTTGGAGGACAATAACAGATGCCCCAAATGCAACTATGTTGTGGACAACATAGATCATCTTTATCCCAACTTCTTAGGTGAGCTCTAGGCTTGCTTGCACGAGAAACCTTTTAGTTGTTAAGGAAAGCAGGCAATTGTAAATTCATCCTATAAATAACTGGGTTCTGGATATTGAAAATAAAATCCAAACATCAGTCGTTTGGTCAACTGTGGTTTTTATTTAAAAAAAAAAGTGGTTTGTAGCATAAATTGTTAATACTCCATTGCCTCTAGTGGTTCTGTATGCTGAGTTACAGTAGTGAGACTGACTTGCTGGTGTTTGCACACTAAGAAAAGCAAAATGAAGATGTTCCTCTGATGGCTAGAGACTTGAATCTGTTTATTTACTTTTGTTTTCTTGCACTGTTATCTGTCTAATAATCAAGAACATGCCCTGTTTACAAACTATGGACACTGAAGAGGGGAGGCTGAATTACATATTGTACTATCTTGGCTACTGAAGTAAGGTCCATGTGATGTATGTATGTGTGTAAATCGCACAGAAGAAATATTCATACAGATACATATATATGCAGTCCTAATTGATTGCTCCTCAAACAGAGGAGGGAAATCTTCCGAAGTGGAAAAAGAGTTTTAAACTTAGTTATGGGGAGAAAAGATCAAAGGAAACACATTGCAGTGTGAAATACCAAAATTTAATAAAATCTGGATTTCATGTGTTGTGATACCCATTTAATAGTAAAAAGATTAAAAGCCACAGTAACCAAGGAATGCTTCAGAAATGGGCATCCTGATTTAGACCTAAGCATGTTGTGCTGAGGCAGGTCTTGGAGGATGTGTTAGGCCATAGAGCGTTGCTGCCATACACCTACATCCAGGGGTTTGAGATATGTACTGAAGGGGGAAGAGCTTGTAATTGTGTATGAAAGTTTGAAGTTATCTCTCTGTCTTTACACCACTCACTAAGTTAGTGTTGAAATAAAACTGTAGCAAAAACATTATCTTTAAAAATGCACACAGTGATTAAAAGAAAAATGTTGTTCAATTTGGCTGCACTTGTTTTTGGCCTGTAATAAATCAGTTAATGTTTTTTCTCCCTCATACTCCTCTGTGATGTACTTCTCCCTTGGAGTTGAAAAACTTTGTCAAAGAACCATGGGTGCTTAGAAAAAGGAACTGAAGCAATTTGGGGAATGTGTAGGCATTGTATTTGTTGATGATTTTTTTTTAAAAAAAAATCTTTATATACTCTACCAAAAAAATCAAGAAATAAATTGTCAAGGAAAAAATGGAGACCTCAATTATTGAAACTTACTGTGGAATTAATAACTAAAGTAAAAACATTGAGAATTTTTTTGTACTTTTTTGTGAACTTTAAATCCATCTCTTCTGACATCCTGTTTGGTTTTTTTAGTCAATGAACTTATTCTTAAACAGAAGCAAAGATCTGAGGAGAAAAGACTCAAACTGGACCATTCAGTGAGTAGCACCGTATGTTCCAACTTTCTTACTTTATATTTATTTAATGGTTCTGTACTGCAATTGTGTCATTATGTGGCTTAATTTATAAGAAATTATACTATTGAACTGATGCTTTAACTTGCTTTACAAGGAAATAATACTAATATCAGCAGCACTAGATCCCTTCAACCTTGTTAGCTTGTTCTCTCTGCCAGCAATATATGTGTAGAGACAAGCTGTGTTAGCATAGCTGTGTTTCATATGATGTATTGACTACAACCTGGGAAACTATCTATGGAAGCACACTTGTTTAAAGGTAATAATTTTCATTCAGTACTGGAAATTACAGCTACAATGAGAGTGTAATGGATGATTAGAAGTGCCACGGGCTTGTCTGATCACGTGTGAGAAGCTGTGTGCTACAGGGAAATTCGAGGAAGGCTGATACCAACCACAAGAGGGAGAAGGATGCATTTGGAGTACTGGTGTTTTGGCTCTGATGCCAGATAAAACTGCTTGGATATCTTCCAGACTTGCTTCTTGTCACAGAATTGGAGCATGATCTGTGTTCTCAGTTCATGAAAACCCCTGTACAGCAGCAATGGATGCTCTTGTACATAAAGAGCAAAAAGAATATATGGCACTAACCAGGAAACTTGCATTTTTGTCTTGTTATGTCTGGCTTCCTTGGCTTCTGTAATTCATAAATAAGGTTGCAAAGTAATATTAAAAATCATGGAGACCCTGTTTTTGTCAGTGTGGTGGCTTAACCCTAGCTGACAACTAGAACCACGCAGCTGCTTGCTCACTTCTTCCACTGCCCCTGCAGTGGAATGGGGAGAAGAATTGGAAAAAATGTGGGTTGAGATAAAAATGGTTTAATAAGTAAAGCAAAAGCTGTGCACACAAGCAAAGCAAAACAAGGAATTCATTCACTACTCCCATCAGTGGGGAGGTGTTCAGCCATCTCCAGGACAGCAGAACTCCATCATGTGTAATGGCTACTTGGGAAGACAAAATGCCATAACTCTGAACGTCCCACTCCCCTTCCTCCTTTTTCCCCTAGCTTTACATCCTGAGCATGAGGTCACATGGTATGGAATATCCCTTTGGTCAGTTGGGGTCAGCTGTCCTGGCTGTATCTCCTCCCAGTTTTTTGGTGCCCTCCCAGCCTACTTGCTGGCAGGGTGGTATGAGGAGCAGGAAAGGCCTTGACCGCTTAGCAACAACCAAAAACATCAGTGTGTCATAAATACCACTCCCATCCCAAATCCAAAACATGGCACCACACCAGCTGCCAGCAAGAAAGTCAGCTCCATCCCAGCTGAAACCATGACAGTCAATTAAAAAACCCCTCTATTGAAGGGTTAATTTAGGGGCTTCGTTGTAGAAACCAATGCTTTCAGCAGTTGTAGGCTTTAGAAAAGAGCATGCTTTAAGGATTCATTGGTTTACTGACAGTAAGTTTCAATATTCAATATAAAATGTGCATATACCATATTGAATATAAAATATGCATAAACCATATCTGGTTTAAAATGCACACAATTGACTTGAAGGCATGTACAGTAACTTCTTGGAAACTGGTTCTACTTTCTCATGGCATACCTTTGAAAATGATGCTTGTAGATGCATCCATGTTAGATAACTACTACTAAGTGGAAATCTACCATGACTTCATGCCCCGAAAGTGTTATGTCTACCTTTTGGCAGCAAATAAAGAAAAAAAAACCAAAAAACAAACAAACAACAACTGGCATCTCTAAAAAGAGAAACCTTGCTGTTGTATCATCTCCTTAATGTGCCTGTTCTCCTCTTGTATTACTTCCAGTATTAGGAGAAATCATTCAAGACACGTTGCAGCAAATGCACAGTTTCTTGGTCATGGATTTGTCTCGTTAAGAAATCATGTTAAGGCATCTTTGAAGCTTTCCAAGTAGTTTAGCAGTAGTACATTTAACTAGTACATTGGTATGTTAAAGTTTGTCTTAAATCTTGTTGACTTGCTTAAAAATTATATTTTTGTTGTTTCAGATTGAAATTGAGTTTTTGCCTCTGTAGTTTCCACAGGTTCTGTTGAAACTTGTGTAAAAAGTTGTGTTCTATGTGGATGTTACATTTTTATTTTTTGTTTGTATTAGCTAGATTAAAGCTAATACAAATAAGCTACAAGCTCTTAGAAAATGTCTGGTTTAGACTGGATGATGGCATTTCTACTTCTTGCAAATTTAAATATCTTGATCTAGTGTCATAGCTTTTATACAACAGGATTTTTTTAAATCCAGCTTTGTTTCTTAGAAGGCCTAAAGACCTTTCAGGTATTTTTTTTGGTTCCTGAGGCTTTTTAATGTAAGGCTGTATTAGCATTAATAACCTATTATTCAGGTTTTCCTGTGCTAAAAGATACTTTTTTTTTTTTTAAACTTTTTACTCGCCATGAGAAGAGCAAATAGCCTGTAGGGAAGAATGGGCTGCATGGTAGTATGTTGGCTCTCTGAGGAGCCCTCCTTAGCTCTAACAGGTTGAATGAGAAGATCACCCTGATGAGCTCTGTCTTCTTTCCTGCTCTCACGTTTCCCATGAAAATACTCTTAAGAGGAGTAGTGTGGGAGGTGAGAATAGAAAAAAGAAGCTGATACTACCTTCTTCCATTTGAATTCAGCATGAGGGCTTTACCTATTATTTGGTTAAAAAAATTAAAAGGTATTGCTGCTTAACAGTATTTCAGATAGATGTCATCCAACTAAGCTTGGATAAACATGTTTTTTCTTTCTCCCCATAGAAACATGTTCTCAGATACTAGGGAACAAATCAGATAAAATTGTGGCTGTGAAACAATCTCTTCCTAGCAGCAGCAGCTATGCTCTCATAAAGTGCAAATATCTTTCAAATAAGATAAGCAGTTACATAGTAGGGCAGAAGAGCTATATCCTGTACATGTGGGAGTATTGGGAATTCTGATTCCTGAAAATTGTTTTGAAATTTTTACAAAGGGATGAAATATTGCAATGTTGTTTTAATAGCTGTTGCTGGATATAGCCCTGGATGGCTTGAACTCAGTGTCTCTCCAACATCTCTTATTTTCTTTCTAGAATGGCCATAGGTGGCAGATAATTCAAGATTTATTGGGAACCGATCAAGACAATCTTGACTTGGCCAATGTCAACCTGATGCTGGAGTTGCTGGTTCAAAAGAAGAAGCAGTTGGAAGCAGTAAGAAGCCTCTCATCTTATTTAAACAAACACTGTTGTCTAGTTAGCTGTTTTTCTTTTCATGCTTTTATCTTCTTGAAGTAAGATTCTATTGCCGAAATAATTGTTCAGAATTTTCTCTTGCATTTTGGTGTTGAAAAGTTTGCCATCTCGATGACCTTTGTAGCAAACCAACATTTCAACTGTGACACCCATAACATGCTTGTAGTGTTGCTACTGGCAGGATTGTATAAAGAAGCAGGGAAAATGGAAAAGGATAAGAGAAAGTGGCTAGAAGAACAGAGAAATGTTTACTAATTGACTGTTGCACAAGTAAATATCAGCTTTCTTGGTAATAAGCATGAAGAAGTCCAAAATATAGGTTAAGCAATAAACTCAATGAGCATCTGAAAAAGATCACACCTTTTAGTTTCTACTGGAACTGGTTGAACCTGGATGGCTGCCATCCCTGAAGACTTTTTTAGTATTTAGTGCTTGAAAGAAAAGTTCCAATGTTTTGTTCATGAGGCTGGTTTGAAGATTTATACAATATGAAGCAAGCTGTTCATACGATTTAAATATGAAATATAGTTGGTTTGGGATAGTTCTCATGTATTTGGCCATTCCATGCTGTTGGTCTCAAGTGACAATTTTCCAGTTGTGAGAGCCAGACCTTCTAAATTAAACTGGATTACAAAATTTGGCCTAGTGAACTTTGGGTAGGAGAGTGGGTTTCAATAGTGCTTTAAAACGGGTGAGGAAAAACTGTATTGGAAATGGCTTATCTTATTCAATATTTACACAACTTGTGGTTCTGATGGAAGTAAAGTAACCCAAAAATGTTTACTGTCTCCTAGCAAAACCATTATGTTACCTTATTGCGTTGGGACTTGTACATAACTTTTTGATTGTGGTTTGGTGAAGATATAGTGGGAGATGGGTTTCTAACTTCACAGTAAAACCTCTTTTTTTTTTTTTTTTCTGAAGCCTTTTTATGTCATTTGTGGCAAATTTGAAACAAAGGCGGCACAGGAATGAGTGTATGGGTGCTTTTGAGTAGGAATATAAAAAACAAAAACACACCTGACACTTAAAGAACAACTTAAAAACATTTTTCCTTTCTAGTTTTACTTGCTTCACTTTCATTATCATCACAGGGCTGGGGAGGAAGAAAATAATTTCAAAAAAGTAGTACTCTTGCATCCTAATCTCTTTACTTGTGCTGTCCCATCTGCCTTTAATGGATTCTGCGTGCTCCTATGTCTTGATCCTTTTTGAGTGTATGTTCACAGTCCTTTAATAGTAAATATTTTGGTAGGTTGTGGAAATAAGTCTCAGAATGCTGGGATAGGATTAGGGCTATATTAATGCTGGAATATAGGTTTTATTTTTCTTGTGCTTTTCTTATCTTGCCCTGTCAAATTTTTGGCCAATTTGGGTGAAAATACTAAACTGATGGTTGAGGTAAATGACCTGTTATCAAAAGATTGGAAAGGGATGTTTTAGTTTCATCACTGACTTTGTTGTCTTCCACCCTGGAGAAATCTTCAGCAGTAATCTCTTTACATAAACACAAATGTTAATTTTAGTGGGAGGTGTTTTTTATATGAATACTTCATGCTTTAATATGTTAATCACGAAGGCAATGCTAATGATCTTCGAAGGTAGAAGATGAGTCTGTGAGGAACATCTATTCCAAAAACACTTTCAGATGCAGTAGTGGGGAAAAAAAAAAGGAATTTCAACTTATTAGTAAGTGTTCAGTAATGCACAAGCAAGAGCTGTTACAATGATTTCTGCCTTCATGTAAAAACTTGTCATGAGCCAAACAAAACCTTAAAACCGGTGAGGCAAAGTAAAGCTACTATTCTTTAAACTGCCTTAGTAAGCTATTTTCTCTTCCTCATCTCTGTGCTAAGTGTGAATTTCTGTGTATAAAATGAATGTCTGCTTCTCTTAATGTATATGTAAGAGTTACGCTCCTTATTTACTGTGTTACAGGAGTCCCATGCTGCCCAATTGCAGATCCTTATGGAATTTCTCAAAGTTGCCAGGAGAAACAAACGAGAGGTAACTTGCTTGGTGTTTCAGTGGGTGAGGTGGTGTCTGCTGCTTTCTACCAGTTAATTTCTGTTTAAGTGATGTATTAGCCTGGCATTATCTCTGCAAGGAAAAAGGCAAGGCATTTTGAGGGAAATCTCAGGCAGAGGACACATGGCTTTCAAGGGAAATTAATCTCTTTACAAGTGACAGCCTCAATTTTTGATCACTTGCCTTTTTGTCTCACACTGGTGAAGCATGTGGGAAGAAGGGAACTTGAGGATAGAGATTCCCCACTGTAAATTTACATCAAATTCTTGAAACAAGATTATTTTTTTCTGTGATGGAAAAACGGAAAGATAGAGAAGGAGTGAAATTGTTGTCCCTCTCAATTTTTTTTCTTTTAGTGTAACAAATAGCATTACTGATGCTGTGTCATAAAAGAGGGAATATTCTGTGATCTTTCCTTATTTGTCTCAAAATGAGTGTCTCAAGGAATAAGAGAGAGTTCCCTAATCACACGCATGGTATTCCATGGTTTGGGACCTATCATTTATGCAATGTATAAACCCTAATACCAAAAATGTCCCAGAAACCCAGAAAAATGATCGCGACAACAGCAGAAAGACAAGCTTTCTTGGAGGACATGGTTTCTGATAAAAGATTTGAAGAATATAAGACCCAACAGTGTGACTGTAAGGTCAAACTTGAACCATGTAAAGGCAATGAGTCTGGACAAGGCCACTTGTCCAGAATGCATTGAGGGTCTGGTTGTGAAGTCATACAGAAGCAAGTTATTTAGAGTATGTCCACCAACTAGATATCCATGGCCTTCTGAGCTGAACCAACAGGAGTAATGGAAAGGAACTAACCAAAGGGGAAAACTGAGTCCAAGATAAAGTTGATACTATCTGCTTGATCCTTCAAGGTTCAGAAGAAAATGGACAAGTATGTATTACTGTTACTTTTTGCTTAAACGCAAGCGTTTGTCAAAACCATTGAGGTATCTTTTAGCCTTCACTTTTTGAATCCTGGTAGAAGTTATTTTATGGCGGCTTAATCTACAAACACTTCTCAGATCTTCAGAATATCTACTTTCATTTTCTTAAATTTCTAATACTTAGTATTATGCAGAGAATTTTAGAGCTTGATCCACCTTCACTGCAGAATTTTAGAGCTTGATCCACCTTCACTGCAGAACTAATGCAGGCTCTGGCCATTGTCCATTGGCACTCGTTAAACGCCTTGCACTGAATCCTGACACAGCTTGAGGGACCATTAAGGTATTGGGGAAGTGTCCCGGTAATGCTGCCTTTGTCTAGGAGGTGAATCAAGAAATAGGTGCTTCAGGAGGTTCGTACACAGCTTAGCTAGGGTGCTCTTCCTTGAGTAATCCTGTGGTGATTCAAGTGCAAGGGTGTTTGAGGCAGTGCCATAAAGTCAGTGATGACTTTGCGTTCTCCTCCCTCAGCTGAAACTGAGTTAGAACAACTCTCTCAGAAGGAGGGGCCGTTGATACCTTCTTTAGTTTGCATGTGCTGAGTGGGAATGAGAAAGGGAAGGGAAATTGCATATCTTCTGGTTTTTAACATAGTGTAGCACAGCGCTCCAGCCCTGACTATGATTTTCAGCACCTGGGAAACCTTTTCCATCTCAGCTGCACCTGCCCTTGGCTTTAGTAATAAAGTACAAGGATAGCATCTCTTTTAAGACTAAAACTTAATTTTGGCTGCAGATTCTCCGAATACAGCCTTGGGAACATCCTGAAGCCTGTTGGGACACATAGCTTATTTCAGATCCTCTCTGTCCCTGCCTATGGGTTCCCTCTGTTGCCAAGATTTCCTCTGATGTTATTTCTTTCCTTTTTATATTCCAGTGTGAAATGCAGACTGTCACATCTCAAAAGACTTTTGTGCAGGTCTGTAAGTTCTGTCCTTGCCATAGTGGTTAGCATCTGCCCTTGCCCTTTATTTTGAGGGAAATGAGGACTTGTCAGACTAGCTAGCAATTTTTCTTTTCACTGGATAAGAATAAGACAGATGAGAACCAGTGGGTAGAAGCAGGGAAAATACAGACCAGTCAATAGGATAGTTTTAGAAAGATGCCAAAATCTGTCTTCAGCAATCAAGCTATACCCATAGAGTAAATTAAGCCAGTTGGTGCTTCCTTTCTAGTAAGTCCCAAGGTCTTCCCTGTAGCTGGTGGAGTGTGTGACAAGTACTCCTCTCTGAAGGGAGTTTTCTGTGTGGATAATAGAGGAGCTACTGTTTGTGAAAGGGCATGAGTTATGCTGGTGGTGAAGGTGTATCTAGGCTGCAGAAGGCCTGAGGTGCTAGTTTGGAAGCTGGGAAGAGGGGTTCAGGGGGCCACCTTAATGCAATTAATTAAATTAATTGCATTAATTAAAAAAAGCTTCTTTTGTGTGTGACTGAGAGTGCTTGTTTCAAATGTTTGGCTTAAATATTTAAAGGAATGTAATATTGCCTGGTAACTTTGTGTCCTAATATGCCTCTTTGAATATAATTTATTGCATGATGTTATTAACAGGTTTTATTTACTACGTACTGCAAGTTCTTACATAGAGAGTAGATATTTGTTAGTTAATAAAGATATTGCCTTAGAGTTAGTGCACCTGTATAATATTTCATAAAAACATGTTCTGAGCATATAGGTAACTACCTGTAACCCTCCTTGCTTACTTCACTCAAGTTTTGTCAGTTTTTTCTCCTGCCTTCATGAAATAGTGACTTCTGAGCTTATTGGAGGGGGTTTATATCTAGAAGAAAACTGTATCTTTATAGACTTGTACTTAAGAATTCAGAATATTGCTGTAGTCAAATATTTTGACAAATGCCTCTTTCTTGCACTTTCATCATTTCTCTAGAAGATAAAGTGAGGTTCAGCACCTGCAGAAGTTTCTATTAGAAATCCTGTTTTGACGTGTTCATAACTTTCCAAAGCATTGATCTCAAGCTGAAATTTACTGTATGTTTTTTGCAGAAAGGTATTTGCAAGTCCTTTTTCTTTTAAGTTTATATATTTTGTTTTCTTTTTGACCTATGGCAGTGTGGCAAAAAAAAAATCTTTGGCAATAGTAATAGAAAAAAAAAAGTGCTACTTTGAAAAAGATTGAAAACAAATGGCTAAAGCTTGAAAATACTTTTTCAACAAAATAACAGATAGTTTTGGAGGAGAGAAATGTATTGATCGTCCACAATATTTGGCTGTCTCTGAGGCAAACTTACCATGGCTGTGTGCCTTTCCATATGTGTGCACAGTTAATTGAATGCACACTCTCCATTTAAATTTTTTTTTTTTTTTTTGGATCCAGCAGTCTCTTCTGTTGAAATCAAAGATCCAAGGAGTCAGGAAGGTCAAGTTTAATAATGAAAATACTTGACTTTGGGGGTTTTTTATCACTGTTTTCAAGGGAAACCAAATGCAACAACTTGTGACTTCAAAAATCATATTTCATTCCAGAGTTTTGATGCTGTTAGCTGTGTTGCATACTTTTGCAAATTTAACTTTGTATACTTTAAATGATCACATGTTCTTTCATCTTGAACACTTTGTGAGAGAGCTGATATCAGTTAATACAAAAAATTCTCCCCAGTTTTATATTCATTATTATAAAAAGAGGCCTTACTAATTGTTTTGTCAGGATTTGAATGTTACCAAATGAAGTTAGACACCACCATACACAGATACATAGTTTGTCCTAAAACATTGTTAATTTGGCTACCTGATGGAGAGTGCTATTTCTGTGAAGCAGCACCATTGCTTACTGAAGGAGGATACTAAGCTTAACAATTAATACCACAAATCAGATTCTACAACATACAGGTGATATTCCCTAAAATGCATTCATGCTTCTCTTGGCAGCTGTCACTTCATTCTTAGCATTTCGTGGGCTTTTTCTTTTTAGTAATGTTGTATTAAGTCTCTCATATCTAACAAGCAAGACCTCATTCATGTCTGCTAATGCAAGGGGGCTGTTTCGGCTGGTAGGCATCCTGGGACAGAGAAGTAATCCTGCCACGTCTCAGGTTTGCTGCACTGAGTTCCTGCTCAGCATTTCACAATCACTGTCGTTCTTTTCAACCTCAAATGTACGTATCTATCCAGCTGTCTTCACTTACTCCATATTGTAAGCACGTTAAATACTAAAAATAAGAGAAGTTATTGGTTATTGTGGGATAATTGCAGGGAATTATAAGCATGAATTCTCCAGGGATGTCATTACCTTGTGTTAATCACTTCACCTGTCAAGTCTTATTGTTCTATGCATACACACATGGATGAACTAATGAGTAAGCAAGAGGAGGTGACAGAACTAGAAATCAGTCATGCTCTTATGTTGTCATATAGTCTTGATTACATTCCAGGACTCTTGAGGTGAATTTATAGCTATAGTAATCTCTTTTCTCTCCGCTGCACTTAAATAACTGGTATTTTAAATCTATTTGCATTTCTAAGCTACTCAATGAGAGATGTGAGCTCTGACTGCAGAGATAAGCCAGGGATATTGCTAGTGTATGAGAAGCAAGCTAGAGATTATCATGTAAACATCCGCATATAATAGCTGACTCTCCTTACTGCAGTGGGGGAGGTCTTTCCAAAGAAAAAGAGGGGGCAACCTAGTACTAAGAGCTGAGCAGCATGTATGGTAATGTATTAAACTCTAAGGCAATTAATCTAAATGTTTGGACAGCTTTGTTCCCTGCCCCAGATATCTTTCTCTTGTGACACTTTTCTATCAGACCCTATCAGTAAGCCTTCAAAGCATTACTCCTGCAACCCAAACTGGAGGATTTAAATGAGGAAGAGGAAATGCAAGATATGAAACACATTTTTGATCAGCCAAGCATCTCCTTCCTCATACCTGTAGGAATTCTGTGTTAAACAACTCAACCAGGATGTTGATCTCAAACCATTCTGTTAGCTCTTCCCCAGTTAAGAGGAAACATTTACCATTTGGAGGAAGTATTGATCAGAGAGAGGAAATACTCCATGCAGATGAATCTGTTAGAGATGGACTATCCACGTGTCTAAAAGGCTCAGATGCCATATTCCACCAATGAAAGTAACTTGTGGAGGCTCAGGTGTTCTTGTCTTCATACTGAAAGAATCCTTCCACCTTTTTCCACTTGCGGAAAGGCTTTGTGACAGTGAAGTGTTATGTCCAAATAAGCGAGATTTGCCATTAATTTAAAAGGCTAAAATCTCTCTAAACTCTGAAGATTACTTCCTTGTCGTAGTTGCCCTGTATGTTATAACAGGCTCTGTATCTGATGCAATAATGGAAGGAAAACCCAGAGACAGACAAGACTTCCAACTGGTTTCCAGAGAGAGAAATTGATCTTGCTTGCTGTAGAGTTGTTGTTGAGGTATTGAGTTCTTTGGGAAGAAATTCATGTCACTGGGTACCTTTAGGAGAATTTCAGCTCTTGATACCTAAGTTTACACTCAAGTTTGTTAGAGCAGTAGTTGATGGAAAAACAAGAAGTAGGAAGAGGTCATGTTGGATGGATGAAGTTGTGGGATAGAATGAAGGGATTATCTACAGAGAGTGCCTGACTTATCTTCCTCAGCTGGACAGATGATATTTTTTTTACCCTGTCCTGATTGGTGCAATGGCTGTGTGTCTGGGACAGAAAATGCTTCCTCTGGTAACAGTCTCATCTGTTTGTCTTGATCTACAGTGTATATTGTGATGAATCCATGAGGGTATTGGATTGGAGCCTTGAAGATGACCATAACATGACTTGTGAGGTCTCAGAAGTGTGAATCTAGATGCTCTGTTTAAGCTGCTCAGTGGAATAGCGTTGGTGATTTCACAGTATTTCTGTAGAAAATAACTTCTGCTGTTCTTTGCTTGTGCTTTTTCTAGAATTGGAAAGGCAGTTGGTCAAGGGTACATGACTCCTTCCCTCATGCATTTTTCTAGGCCGTCTCTGTGGCATGAGGAGGCTCTGAGCTTTTAGTTTTTTGCAGACATTTAGAACTGGCACTAGGAGACCCAGTCAGGACCACTTGTGTTTGTACAGCACAGACAACAACAAAGGAAGAAGTCAGTGCCTCCTGAGGGGCACTCTGTCCAGGAAAAACAGGAAGCCCAAGAATGAAACCTCAGCGCTGTACCCAGCTACGCTTGTTAGTAGACAGCCAACTGAAAACAAACTGAACATGACCTGGTGTTAACATTGTGTAAGTTCAAGTCAGTATTTCTACCCAAGAGTCTTATGTGGAAATTTAGTAGCATGGTAGGGTGCGTCTGAGCAACTCTAACCAGGGGATTTCACTTCAACCACGTAGTCCAGGGCTGAGAGTTGTCTTTGAAGAACTCTGTGTGTCTAAGACAGCTTCAGACTCAAACTGGAGAGTTTTTGGGAGGACTGTCTTGTGGGTGTCAAAAGGGTTTGGCTCTGAAAGATTACCTAAAAAGAATGATACGAGAGCCTGTGCTTCCTACTGTGGCAGCTTCTTGACTTGAACGTCTGAAATCCCTTTTTCAGAGATTATAAGAAACATAGGCTATTTTGAGGTCGTCATTTTTCTTTGGTATGTATGTGTTTGTGTGTAATGTGACACCACAACATTATACACCAACTTATTGTAGTTCATTCAGTGCAGTTGAAATTATGAGGTTTAACTGCTGAATTGAAGCCTTCTCCTTGTCCACATTGGCCTTTTCAGTTCTGGGAAAGCATCTGTGTCTGAGAAGAGAGTTTATAGTACATGCTGCTATTTTAGCGTACATCTCGGTGTTCATTCTGTGTTTTTGCTGACTTAATCTGAAGTTTGACAGGCATGATTCTGCCCATCATCAGGACAGGACTTGGCTTGCTTTCTGTGCCCAACATAGTGAAAATCAGATTAAGGGCCCATAAATCTGGATATACTGCAAGGACTATAATTCATTTAGCTTTCCTTAAATGTCCCTCAATGGCTGGCAATTATAAATCAGTAGTCTCATTTTTCAAAGTTTAATTGGAATGAATGTGGTCTGATTTAAGGTCTTGAAAGATTAAAGCTAAACCATGAAACACTTGAGCCAACCTACAAAAAAAAAAGTCTCAATGTGTGCGTTACTAACTCATTTGATACTTACAGTATGAGAAGACTTTTCCTAAAATAAGCATGAAACACACTTGCCTAGTTTTTAGACTTGCTACTATCAGATAAGTTTATGGTATGTTCAAATTGCTTGCTTTAATGTGACTAGAAGGAAGAATTAGTAAATGAAATCTCAGATCTTGTAGTTTTGACTCTGGCCAGCTTTTATTAACTACTGCACAATAAAAAGAAGTCTCTGCTTTTCTTCCTGTAAAAGGTCTCTTGTTTGTGATGACAACCACCGTCAGTTATTTTTCCATTGTCCAGTCTGGCTGTAAGCCAGTACGTTGTAGAATAGCTGATTTCCTTGCTGTAATTTTGGACCTTCTAAGTGTTTTTGTAACTTCTTTTTAAATGGGATTTATGAAAGTGAGGGACTAATGGTATTTGTCTGCTAGAGCTGAGTACAGGCAGGACCCGTGCTGTGCAAGTGTCACTTAACTTTACCACTAATCTTGGAGCTATAGCACCACCTGCTATTCTTGCTGTAGATTTCGCAAGTGAAAATAGAATTATCTGTTATGGTTTAGTGGTTTGTAAATTATCTGTGGCAGTCTAGTTTTAAACCATTAAACTTCTGCTCTCTGTGACTCAAATTAAAAATAAACTGAAACCTTCAGAGTAGAGAGATTAGGATATAAACACAATGTCATCTCATTCCAAGGAAGAAGCAGCAATGTTAGACATACGTGTGGACACAGCAGTCCTTTCCTCCTGTCTTCAGGGACAGAAGCTTTTTTAATATTGAAAAGGTAAATTAAAATGGTGGCTTATCTAATGCAGAGTGCACAGATATTTGGAATGCTGATCAATAGTAGAGGCTTAAGTGGTGGGTGTGTTTTTCTTTAAGCAAAACTTTCTGCCACTTAAAGGATCAAGCTTTAGCACTCGAGGGAATAAGTGAGAATAGCTTGCCAAATGTTCTTGGGAATATGTCATACTAAGAGTAATATGTCTTGCAATACGAGTAACTTTGGCTTTGGGCAATTTGATATTCCCTTGTAAATTCAAAATGACAAAAATTTGTCTGGCCTTTAGAGAATGTGTTGTGCTTAATAAGCTTTCCGTGGACTTGCCAACTTGGTAACAGCTTCTGGTCGCATGCCACAGTGCTAGTCGTCTGTAGGTTTTTACTGTGAGCTGAGGAGAGTCAGGTGGACTTTCAGTTCTCAATGTATTCGTTGTGTGTCTTAGTGAACCAGACTTGCCTCCGGCCTGGGTTTTGTTTGTTTAGGTCCAGACTTGGAGCTCTCACCTGGAGAAGTGAATGTGTTTGAGTCGTGCAAGGCTGGGTATAGCCTCTGTGGGTGTTTGGGTGGGACACATCTGCTGAATGAGGGTGGGAATTAGAGCTGGTGAGCAGATGATGCTTTTGCTTAGGGGTAAACAATCACCAAGTCTGGCTTCACAGTTGCTAGAGATGAGTGAAGCTAGATTACTGACTGACTGAAAAGTAAGTTCAAAAACCTGTAAAACATTACGTGTGACACAATGAGGGAAAGGGGATGTTGGCTGGTGAGAGGGGAAGTCCCCTTCTGACCCTTTCAGGGATAGCCCTCAGGTTGACAGGAGTTTATGGTGTAATCCAAGGTAAGTATCACATCTTTGAAAGAAATGCCATGTTGTGCTTGCTTGCTGCCTGAAGCAAATGTCTCTGGTCTTAAGAGGTGTTTGCCAATCTGAAAATTTTGTCAAGAACTTTAAAGTGGCAATTGGCAGATTAACTGCTAGCAAGAGAAATACTCTTAATACCTTTTAGCAAAGCATTTTGTGCTTTGTTGAAGGGTGAAATGATCACTGTCTTGTTCATGGTGGTTTTTGCTAATTATATTCAGTGTTTGTAAACCAGTTATACCTTACATGGAAGATGTTAGAGGAGTGTAAAAGTATTCATTTGAATAACATGGGTCTCTGTGATTGATATCAAAGTACCTCATGCTTATTTTTGTATTGTTTCACAATATCAACTTTGTCTTGAATGTGGTTTGTGTGCACACTTATGTTAATCTATGCATATGAACTTCCTGCCTAGTGACTTTTGAATCATGTAGCATGCCAGTTAAGATAGTTCAGGTTCCTTTCTGAAAAGATTGTAATTTATCTTGTTGGTGGTGCAGTGCAGATTGATTTAGACTTCTCTCATTCTCTTATCCACAGCAATTGGAGCAGATCCAGAAGGAGCTAAGTGTTCTGGAAGAAGATATTAAACGAGTAGAGGTGAGGTGCCCAGACATTGTTCTGACTCTGGCAATTTTTCATTTTCATCAAGCTGTCTGCCATCAAGCCCCCCTTGTGGGGCTGCTGTGTTAAATTTATGGTATTTGAGTCAGTAATGGGAAAATGAACAGGTGATGGTCGGTCTTTAATTTGGTCATTTAGCTGCAAGTTGGTAAGAGGGGACTTTGTTGAAACCTAGCTCTTATATAATCATATATTCCTATTTGTTTGTGTTGGTAGTAAGTATTTTGGAATAATTGCTACAAATCAACAGCTGGTGTACTGATCATAACTTAGAATTTTTGTGTATTGCAGTGTTCTGGCTATTTTCACAGGCTATTTAAATCTTAGCAGCATGCCACTCTTAAAATGGAGAGGTATTGGGGGGTGCACAAGAGAGCTGTAATACAGAGCCTGAGTATGAACAGTGCCGACTCTTGCTGCATGTCAAAACAGCAGTCTGCTGCCTCCTGGTATAATTCTCTTAATTCCTTAATGGTGGAGATCTCTTGAGATTTTTGTTAAGAATTATTCTCCAGGTATTTGTAAACCAGTCAGCTCAATCCTTCTGTCGTCATTGAGTCCTTAATTTCCTCCTTGGTCTTTGTAATCATTCCAGTGTTTTGATCTTGGAGTAGGAAACTGATGTACAGGAATGCATCAGACTGCCACCTCTCAAAATAGCATTCCCTTAAATCTTCTTGGGAATCAGTTTGCAGATCTGCTTCTCTCTTCTTGCTCATCTTGAGCAGTCAGCATGAGCTCTCAACCACTGCCCAAAAGCCATTTAGATTTCTTCACTTCCAATTTATACATATGCTGTTGAATTATCAAAGTATAAATAGAACTGACAACTGCAGGAACTTCCCTTCAGCTGATAGCTATGCAAATTGTAACTTGGTAGATAACAGCATTTTTCAGGCCTATTTCCCTAAATGTTTCTCAGCTCTTGGGAAATAAATACACCTTAGTGTGTTTCCTTGAGACTGGTAAAATAGGTCTTCAGATCTAGGAGAAGCTATTCCCAAAGCCACGGGATCCCTCGCAGAGTATCTAGCTACCTGCTTTTCTGCTTTTTAATCAGGCACTTCAGTGGACTGCAGCTGGGGTACGTATCTGTTGTGTGATAGTGACCTTGGTTCTGACCTCTAAAGCCTGGGATCTCTCTCATCACAAATATCCTACTTTCTACCTAACAACTAATGGGCACCTAGTGGGAATTTGAAAAGCACCAGTAATGTTGTCCTGGAACACTTTGCCCCCCTAACTAATGAGCTGCAGCATCCTGCATAGCTTCCATTTCTTGAACAGATGAAAAGTACAGTCTCATACTGGGTACACAGCAGTGATTTAGTCTGGCAGTGACAAAGCCAAGTTTATGCGCAAAGTTTGTCTCTTGTGCACTTGCCCCATAGAAGACTGATAGATCCTCTTTTAAGTCTGGAGCACGATACCACCTTTGCCCTGTCGTCTTGTGACTGTTCTTGCCATGACCAGCATTACTTTCAGCTGCAAAGATAAAAGCTTGCACGTATCTCAAAAATGCAGTTAGAGCTTGCCTGTTCTGCCACGTTTAAGGGAGGTGCTGGGTTAGAGACAATTGCGTGATAACCAAATCCATTGATTTTTTGGAGTGTGAACTCCGGAACTGCTTCTTTTGGGGCAAAAAGCACAGCAGTTGTAGGATTTCTGAAACCCAGTTGAAATCATAACAGGGCAAGGCAGGGGAGGATTTTAAGAAAATCAGTGTTTCTTCAGGTGTAGTAAAGACTTCTAGGTGAGAGTTGAATAAATGTAGATACAGTTGGTTATCTGCTTGGAAAACCAAAAAATTACTATGTGAAGACCGTATATTAGACAGTACCTACTATTCATATTTTTTCAGCTTTGCTGTGACGTGGCTTTCTGTTTCAGGAAATGAGTGGCTTGTACTCCCCAGTCAGCGAGGACAGTACGGTGCCGCAGTTTGAGGCTCCCTCACCTTCACACAGGTATGGAGCTTGCAACTCCAAACTTGGATTTCAAGCTATACATGTTGCACTGTACTTAATGGCCCTCTACATGCCATGCCAAAAATACAAGCAAAACTAGTTTTTGAGTGCCATATAGTATTTTCCTGCTCTGTTATTGATTGGTATAAACTTTATGTGAACAAAGCAGTGAAGAAAAAGCTATCCGAGTCTGCAGTTGTATGAAAAGTCAACGCTAAACCAGATGCTGTGGAAAGCTGATGGTTTTAAATGTAGTGTGGATTAGTTAACTTGAGTCATAAGCCTTTGCTATGGTATGAAATATTACTGTTAAATACATGCTACCTGAACGTTATGCAGTTCTGCTTGGCATATGAAAGGTCTTAACTTTGTATGATACTGGTGTCCTCTGGCTTCCCCGCTCAGTGTGAATGGCTAAAGGTATGGGTTCACAAGGTCAAAATCTAAAATATACAGCCTATTGATTCTGTTTATCTGCTGTCTGTTTTGATTTAATGAAATGCCTTCCTAGCAACCTATTTTCAATGTGGGGTTTTTTGTCTGGAATACTGTGTAGTCTGGTTTCTTGATAAAATTGCAGATACTTCTTGTGTCCAAGTTGCACGTGCCAAGGTTTGAAGTGCTCTAATTCTTCATAGCTGTGCTTTTTGGTTGTAAGAAAGCTCTGATTTCAGAGGGCCAAGTTATGTTATTATTATATGATCATCTCTCCTACCTTTTAATAGTAGAGTTCTCTAAACTGTTGACTTCTTTTATAAAATTGTACTAGTACCTTTTCTGCAATTAGCAGCTTTAAACCTAATAGGCCAGAAGTAAGGAGGAAAAAAAGATCAGATTTCCTCCCCTACAGAGATTTAGGTACAGTGCTCTGGTAAGGAGCCCAGCAACATTGGCTGGGATTTCTTACCAAGACACTATTTCTGGACACTGAGACCAGAATCTCTAATACTTCTATGAAGGTCTGGCTGTCCCCGAGGGAAAGGACCGCAGTATGGCCAAGATGCATGGGAACAGTGTTTGTTATTCTGCTCTTCTCTGCTTGTTTATTTTTTTTTGGGTGCAGGTGCGTTTTTTTGATGTGGGTAATTGCTGTTTTGCCAAGAAGCAGTTTTGTGAAGCTGATGAGATTCTTGTCAGGTTCTACTAGTTTTCTAGTTATTGGCTATTAAGTAGATCGCTTCTTGCTTGCTTCATGGTACTGCTACTTGGGGAAAACTTGAGCACCGGTTGGCCTGAATTTGTTACATGTTGAATGCCTTCAGGCCTAGAAACCTTTCTTTTTTTAACAGAAGATTGTACTTATGAGTAGAAATGTATCTCTATTACTTGAGCCAAGCTCACAAACAAGCTCCCAAAGAACTTTATCTGTTGAAAGCTGGAATAACATTTTAAGCCCAAGAATTTTGGTGAAAGAGTTGGGGGGAAAAAAATCTGCTGAGAGACTGACGCTGGTTTCAGTCTACTGAGAATTTCATATTATTCCTTTATGCCTGCTCATTTCATGTCCTAGTGTCAATCATCCTCAGTGCTTGCTTTTGAAGATGTAAGTTAGTGTCCAAAATATTTTAGTGATTTTGGATTCATGTGCTTCAGCTGAGGTCTGCTGGGAGATGGCAGTGGGTGAGACCATGGTGGGTGCAGAGACCATTCTTGCCCGATCTTCTTATGCTTGTCTGGTTCCATCTCAGGTCTATCTTGAACATTTGGGTTTTTCCTCTGGTGCAACATGCTAGGGGTGTGATACAACAGGATGTTTAGGGTTTTTTCTAGGGTATCTGAGGTTGCCTTTTTCTCTCAGCTTGAGAGATCCCTTTTCTGTTGCTCAGCGACATTCCTGTGTTAAGAAGTAGTCTTGACTGGTTGAAGAGAATATAGTACCTAAAGGAAGTGTCCACACAGGTATCGCTTGTTGCCAGACTCTTGTAACTTCCGTCCCCATCCTATTCTGACAGTTTTGTATAATTCAAGTAATTGAATTGGTTTGAATTACCAGAACTCAGATTCCAGAAAGGTCTACTGCTTGAAATTAATTTTCTTCTTCAACATTAAATGTAAGTTTTGCAGAGTATCTCAAAAACTGTAACTTTGATTCCTCCTTGAAAAGAATGCTGGAGAACAGCTGATAGGAGCTTTAAAATACGCTGGGTTTTTTTTTTTCCAGCTCTGTTAACTGAAATACTTAATCTCTAAAGTGCATTTTAGAGATGCTGTGAGTCACTAAGAATGAAATACAAATATAGTTTGGGATGGTTTCAGTTCCATGTTAAAATGTTATTAAACTTGCAGAGACTTTTTAACTTATCAGTGAATTAAAATGGTATCTTTAAATTGGAATATAACTTGTTAACATGCTTACACCCTGCTAATGAAATATAATTGTAGCAAATTTTACTAATGTGTCTTATAAATAGTACAAGGTTATCACAGACCCATGCTGAGAGGAAGAAAAACTCTTTAGCCATTGAATTTAAAGTTCAATAAAATAGAGTTCTTTGGAATTTGGTTTTATCTGGTTTCTAGTGATTTGCCCTTATTCATCTACTTCCTCTAAATCACAGGCTTGCTTCATTAATTCTCTGTTTCATTTCATTGTTTGTATCTTTTTTCGCCACCCTCTTTAACATCTTCAAAATGTGAAATTACTATGCCTCCTCATCTTCCTTCACAAGTTCTTTAGCAAAAAAACCCTAGTATAGCTATCGTGTTCAATACGTCCTCGGCTTCAAGAAACACGTGTTTTCTCTTATGCTTGTACAGGGTATGATGAAATATTAAATTGGGTAATAGCACAGCACTTGTTTACAGCATTGCAGATTGCTGGGCTTGTATATTAATAGAGAACAAGAGGGGAAGAATAAGGGAAAAGAACAAATAGTTCTGTGCAGGGTTTTTCTGAACAGGCGTGTGTGCTATTTTTGCGACCAGTAAATGGTGCAAACAGGAGACACAAATAAGCAACTTCTCCATGACTGCATATTCAGGCAGCAACAGCAATAACAAACTATCACCCTAATAGGAGTTTCTGGGGAAAGATTCTGATCTAAAAATTAGTTTCCTGGTAACTCTGATTCAGTTATTGAAATCCTGATCTCTTTCCCCTCCATTTGTTCTAATTACTCCACCCCCCACCCCCATAAGGGTATAACAAATGGGATTTAGCCTGCAGATTGCTGTGTTTTTGTTGTTGTTGTTCCAGGTTTTTAAATATGTCGTCTTAGTGTAGCCGAATTTTCTAATTGAACCTAATGGTACAGCTTTTTAAAAAGAATTCAGAGGGAACTTTTGTAATTTTCTGGTTATTTGTGTCCTGTTTTTAAAAGGGAAAACATTCGAGCATATGCCAGTTAACTCAGCTACAGGCACTTCACAGAAATGACTTTGAATTTGTATTCTGGTTAGGGAGATGACGTCTGCACTCTTGAAGGTTTTACATCACCAGACAGCCTGCAGCAAAACGAGACCAGACACTCTAAGTTTGTGTGTTTTGTTGTTAATTGCCACTATACCTGTCTCAGAATGGAGTACTTTTTCACTGCTTTCCAGCTGAGCATCTTACTCATGCAGGAGCTGCTGTATGTGTTTCATTATTTCATGTGGCCACGTTCTAATTTAAAGTTCATTGTCCCCGACCATGCCTGAAACAGCTCTGCTGTTTTCTCCCTTGCAATAGCTCGCAGCAAATAATGATTTTTATCCCTCAGATTTTCTTGGTTTGCAGCTTTTGTCTTGCCTGTAACAGAAGCCCAATCAATCTCATCTTACAAGTTAACCACTAATGAGACTTTAAAATCATCTCTCATCTTCTGTTTCTGCTTCCCTCCGCCTCCAGGGGAGCTTGAAAACATTCACAGAAATATCGAAGCGCTAGTACCACTGTTTCATCCTTCTAGACTTACAGGTGGCCCTGACCAGCATTTCAGCCAAACCACTTGTTTTATGACCAAGAATGTCAAGGCTATGCATCAGTTCTGGCAGCTGTTACATAAACATCAATAGGTACAATCATCTTTTACAAAACCGGGCCCTATAGCAGTGTTCTGGCAGCCTTTTTAAAGAAACCTTCAGCTTTCCCAAGCAATGCTTAAATCTAAGGTTACTTTGTAAGTAAGACTGAGAATAACAAACCCAGATAGTTTCTTTTCTGTCCAAACCAAATGACATAGCAGAAGTGAGTTATAAAGATTTTTAGAAACAAATCATGAATGTTTGTAATGTGTTCTCCGTAATAAATGATGTTCTTGTGTACTAAACTTTACTTATCCTAAAAGTATCTTAAATTTGAGTGATAAGGGTGCTTTAATCTGGCTCTGGTGTCCTATTGCGAGAACTAAGTATTTTGCTCATATGTGCAAGAATACTGAACCACCTGTCTTCTGCTTATATCAGTAGATCCTTTTGCAGTTTTGAAAGTTAGATCTCTTGAGTTTGCATATGTGTGCTATGTTCTGAAAAGAGTGATTTTAAGGTATATTGTAGCATTATAGATACTATGTAGCTATACATGGTGTAGCATTTTCTAATAATAGTAATCCTGGATGTCAGTATGTTTTTACTTTATTTCCGTATTTCATTACTTGTGTCTGTTTTTTGTGTCATCAGAGGTGTCTGGAATACTAGTGTCTGTCTTAAGCTGATGTCTCTAGCTTTTTCCTCTTCACAGTGCTGTTTCAATTGCCATAGCATTAAACTTTTTTTTTAAAGGAACTGAAAACCAATGGTAGCATGTTATTTTCAGAATGTCTTATGCTGCATATTTCATACAAAAGATATGCTTTTGCATTCTAATTAGAAATTACTAGATTGTGCTACACATAATTGTGTGTGACAGCATTTTGCTCTAGGAGGTCCCTGTATTTAAGAAAAAAAAAAAGATCCCTTCCAAACCTCCAAACAAAAAATAACCTTGTGTTCCCTGTCTATAAAATGAATTTCAAAGGCGAGTATGCAGCAGGATGTAAAGGGGGGAATAGCAAACAGGTTAAAAATGATAAAGGATGGTTGTACAGTGATTTAAGTAGACTATTTCTTTTGGTTTTGCAGTAGTATTATTGATTCCACGGAATATAGCCAGCCTCCAGGCTTCAGTGGCAGTTCTCAGGTAAGGTAATATGTGTGTCTGTGCACAGGGGGGATGGGAGAGTGAATGTGGAGGCTGGGCAGAGATTAGGCAGAACTCCATCTATCTCCAGGGATCTCTCCTCAAGTCTTGCAAATGCTTTTAACTGGTTATATGGGCAAACTGGAGCCAAGACTACAGCTGTAGGAATGACTATGCATGATTGTGAGTGTCCACACTGAAATCATCAAAGGAATCAGGTGTAATATATTTAGACATCTGACTTTACTCCCAAAACTGACTCTTCAATGGAAAAGTCAACAGAAGAGGGGATGTTTTTTCCTCTTCATCTCTTCTCTCAAGTGGGCAACATTTGGGAAGGAAGGTAAATCCCTGACCCTTTGCATTGACTTAAATAGCTTTGGATCAAGCTTGACTTTCAAAACAAGAAACATTCATTCTCCACACATACAGCTGTTTTGTAGTTTGTCCTTGTTAGGGCCTTACCAACTGTATTATAAATTCACATAGAGGGTAAAATGTCGCATATGCCGTGAAGCCGTTTGGCAGGCAGCCTCCAAACTGATATACAGGGCCTCCTGAATGCCAAACAGCACAGCTCTAGTCTTGCAGCTCGGAGTGATTCAGCTGGACTGGGAAGATGGTACCTGGCTGACAGCTTCAAAAAGATTAAACGGTTTTGATTTAGATAGACGGACTGTTGGTTACATGTCAGCTCATGCCTTTGGTGCTCTCTGGTGGTGGTGGACCGTGCATAGCACACAACCATATCAAACTGGTAAATAAAATAGAAGTGCTGTTGGATCTTATTTGGTGGAGTAACTGATATAAAGAAAAAACACCTGAGTTTCGGGCTCACATGCGTGTATGTGTGCATGCAGGTTTTGGGGTTTGTAGCTGTATAACTAATCGGTGATTAGAAATTTTCCTCTATTAATCTTTAGAAAAATGCTTGTCGTTCCTGCTACTGTGGTCTGGGAGATTTTTGCTTGAGCAAAGAATTGTAGCTCTACCTCACTTCAGAGGGCAAGTGAAATGCAGTTGGAGATTTTATGTTCAGGACTCTGATATGATATAGTATGTTTGTTCTTCACAGACACTACTTGTCTCTTTTCTTTCTATTTCAAAGACAAAATTAATAGCATAGCTGTTCTTCTGGTAAGCGTGCAAAACAACTTAGACTTTTTAGTCATTCTGTATGACAGCTTTATTTGTGTGAGAATAATCTCTTTTGTCCTCAAGAGTGCAAAATCTCTACTCACTAATGCAAATTTTCAAATTAAACGTTAATGTATGTTTGGATAGGGAGTTGAAAGAGCTCTTCATTCAAAGGTAGTCTAATTTCAGCAAGACTTTACCATAAAAATAGTTTGAAGAACATAAATTCAATTGTGCTTTTTTCTGATTGTTGGTCATGGCAAAAATCGTAGATTAGGCACTGCTGGCAGAAAGAAGCTATGCTAGGATGGATAGCATAGCTTTCTTTCTCAATATAATTACTCTGTGCATTGCTCATGAACATGTTCCTAGGGAAGAATTTATATAGTGCAAAACTACAGGACCGTTTTCTTCCAGAAGCTGAACTTCAGAAGTGAATAGTGGACAAGTCACATAGGCCCTGGGGAATTCTGCAGGTAGTATTTAGTGGCAGTACTTTTCTGCTAAAAATAAGGAGCTTGTGTGTGGCTGTGAAGCTTTTCCACAGTTGTTAGAAGACTCCTCAGAGCACCTAATGGATTTCAGACAGTAAAATCACTCTTGATAACAGAGCAGTCCTAACTAATGTCTTCAACTAGGACAACCATAGTAGTTTTAGCAGTTGAATAAAAATTGCTTGGCTATGTTTTCTCTTCTTTCCCTTATTTTTTGGTGGTGGTTTTTTGTTTTGGGTTTTTTTTTAACTCCTTTTCCCAGCATTGCTTAACCAGGGAGCAGACTTCATAGAAACTCAATAAATGTTTTGGTAAAATATAAGCAGTTTTAAATGCTTAGCTGGGGAGGATCTGATGAAGATGGGTTAATGCAGATTAATTCCCAGCACAGCTGGGTTGCCATGTGCCAGCCTGAGAGGTGCTCCAGGGGTTGTTCCTCTGGAGACCCACCAGGTGTGTCGCACAGCAGGCAAATACTTACCATGATTGATTCCACCTTGGTGTGGACTGGGCTCATCTGGCAGATCAGACTTGGTCTTGGGTTATATTGCTCATCATGTCGCAGGTTATATTCCTCATCACGTCTTAACTGAAGTGATTACTCTTTGATACTTGAAGTTGTCTTGAGTCCTAATCACTCCTGATGTGCTGAGAGAAGCTGGAGTCCTTGCAGGCTGGCATGCAAAATTAATAGAAAGATGCTGTAAAAGTGTTCCATTAAGTATTTCTTAAAATTGTGAAGTTTTAGAAAATTGTAGTTAAAAGGTGTCAAGGTAGGAGTGCTTTCCAGTGTTCTAGTTGCGTGTTGACGTTGGAGTTGCTTTTGAGATGAAACAAGCTGCATAGACCAGAGGTGCTGTCAAAATGCATGTGTGAGTCACGATGTCAATCTATAGCCAGCGGCTTCGTGTGGGAAACAGTGTCTGGAGGTTTCATTGCTTGGGGCTTGCTTTTTCCCTAAAATGTTGCATTACTGTTTGTACAGGTGTAAACAGAGTTTGAACAGGCTCTGAATTTAGTCTGTTCTTGTTGGCTTGCTTGATGGTTGTAATGAGGGCAGTCCATTCTCCTGTGTGGATTGAGGGGGAGTGGTATGCAGAGTGGGTTTTGTCAGTGGCATTGAGTGGCATTACAGACCTTGTATGTGGTCAGGGATGTTGTTCATTAGGGAACTTGGTGGTTCTCAAATCTTTAAAAATTTCCCCATTAGCTTTGAGCATGTGATATGTGAGGCTTCTTAAATATAAACTAAAGCAAGGTGCTCTTCGTGCTTCTTGTGTAGTAGTGGAATTGTTCCTTTTCCATACTAGTGATTAAAACGAGAAGTACTGTATTTTCTGTTTTCCTTCAGGAGGACAGCTTATAGATGTAGTTTCAATGCTTTGCTTCTGCCTCTCACTATTACTGCTTGGGTAGGTTGTGAAATGGTTTTAATGATGAGTTTCATGGACTTCTTTTCAATTAACCTTTGAACTTCACGGTGTCTTCTGCTTCTATGCTTATTTGCTTAGCTTCACAGAGAGTTACTGAGTTGCTTCAAAAGAAATAATCCAGTAACTAACTCTTTAAAATAAACACCTCCTTTTTAATGAGCTTTCTGCCAGGGATCTAGGATGTATTTGTTGTACAGTGTTTGATTTGTGAAGCTGGAAGCCCAGTATCTTCTGCCTCTGCCGTCTATCCATATAAATGCAAGATGTGACTCCCCAAGGGTTGCTGCTGTCTGTCCTGTGTTTGAGGCTGGAATCGGTAGATTTGCAAAGGTTCAGGAAACAAGAACTGTCCAGAACTAGCTTTTCTTGTTTGTCAAGTTAAAGGGTGCAATTTAGGACCCTAAGAATAACTGTTGACAGTTGCAAGATTTTCATTTATTGTCATTTTACACATCTAACCCTTCACATATAATGTTATAAATTGTTTATGATTTGGTAAAATCTATTGAAATGAAACCCAGGCCTATCTTTACCTTCCTGAAGTGTTCCCTCTTCTCCATTCAGACCAAAAAGCAACCGTGGTATAACAGCACGCTAGCCTCACGACGCAAGCGGCTCACAGCTCATTTTGAGGACCTAGAGCAATGCTATTTTTCCACCAGGATGACACGTGTCTCGGGTGAGTTCCTTTTGTGTGGTGTTCAGCTTCTGACATCAGTTACCTCTTACAATGCCTAGTCCTCAGAAAAGACTTGCTTTTGAGAGAGTAGCTTTCACTTCTTCCCTGCATGGGAACATTGCTATACATCTTTGTGTGTTACTCAAATCATCCCGTTTTGCTTTTCTTAACCAATCTTTGAGGTTGCTAAATTTAGAAGATTTAATCCTGTCACTTTGGAGGGGCACATTGCTTTGTAATCCTGTACTGTGAAGGGCATAACCCATGATAAACAGTTTCACTGATGCTCATTATGAAGATGCAGATATTTGAAAGCAGTGGTTGAGTCGTCTTTCTACTAGATGAGGTATAAACACAGTAGTTAAAAGCATTGCTATTGAAATGCTGTGGAGGTGTAAACATACATTGATAAATTCTCCTGTATTTAGCATGCAATAGGACACTTGGAGGTTATCCTTTATGTTGTCTAGATTGAGTCTTGGTTAACAAATGGCTTGGAGTATAGAAGCTGAGTGTGCAGCAGTGTTGTTGTCCCATGGGGCACACCTTAGATTTAAGGCTTGTTTTGTAGAATTAGAAGCTGTTTTCAAATTCCTAGATTGCCTCATTCATAATTGAGTAACAGTGTGACAGCAGCTAGAGTAATTGTTACCTAGTGGGTGGATGGTTCTTAATTACATGACAAGATTCTCTTAAGAAATGAACGAGTCGAATGAGGATGAGAAGGGTTGCTCTATGCCCCCTCTGGGAAAGAAACCAGCTTTGGGGGGGAAAAGTTTCAGGCAATGGGCTGCAGCAGGCAAAAGATTTGCAGCACCAAGTTGTGAGCTGCAGCTCAGTTTAAAGGCTGCAACATGTTTTAGTGGAGCTTGGTCTTAGATATGTCTACGTCTTCTACCTACTTTAGAGCAGTGACTGACTTAGGTCTCATCGTGCACAGCAAAATAATTTTAACAGGGAATGCAGCACGTTGAGAGGGTGCTTCAGTAGCTGGAAGATCTGAGAAGCTGGTTGTATGTGACCAGCCAGTTTCCTGTGAAGTGCTAGCAAGTGCTTTGCAGACTACAGTCCTTCACAGATCACTCTGAGATGTTTTCATGCAGTGTTAACTTGGTGATGCATAACTGTGTTTATGTTAAAATAATACTTACTAACCAAGGATAACAAATGGGGGTCTTCCAGCATTCCTTTCTAGAAGACATATTTCTTCATAATTGGAACTATAAATATGAATGCAGTGAAACTATTTTTTGCATTCACATGTGTCAGCCGCACCAAGAGCGGAGGATTTGCAAGTGCAGGTTTTGTCTTAAATGAGGGATAACCTGTGATATTTGATTAATTTTTCTCCTCTTAGGCTTTCTAAGTAGGGAATGTGGATTTAAAGCTTTTTGTAAGAGGTGCCTATGATTGTTCTAGTAGGGAGTGGAGACATAACTGTAATTATGAAATGGCCTTGCACTTTGACGGGGAAAATGTCTTGAGAAATAACATTCGGTTTTCCAGGCACAGGTACAGAATAAATTATAGGAGGACTGTGTGTTTGATCTCTAAATGAGGGAAATGGAAGAGTAGCAGCTATTTGTTCCTATCAAAGTGTCGAAGGAGGAAAGGGTCTTTGAAAAAACACTGACTGATGTTTACATGCTTCTCCTCGAGCTGTTTCCTGGAGCAGTCAGGTGCTGATGATTTTAATTTGGAGCAGTACTTTGTTCATTTTGCCCCTTTTGATCCATCTGGCGTGGGTAATGTATATGCTAGTACTCCTAAACATGCTAATTACTAGCCTTCACTGATCCTTTATACGATTAAACATTAAATAGCATGTAAGGGACACTTCAAAATGCCTTACAAGTGTAGAGCTAGATAATAATATCCGATGGCAAGGAATTACCAGAGTGCAGAAAAGACATTATTCTCTCCGTGTTCTCCCACAAGAAATCACAGCTGTGTTTTGCTTTTATAGATCAACCTTTTCATTTTTTCACCCCAGTGTTTCCAGACCTTTCTAATAAGTGAAGCTTTGTCGTTTCCTTATGCTGCTGCTAAGGAAACAGATAAGGATAACTTAGCTAGTGGGTGCAATTTGATCTCAGCCACATGAGTGAGTTGTGTGTATGGCTTCTCTGCTGCTGCAGTGGATGCCGTGGTTTACCAGGAGGCAAGGTGTGCAGTGATGCGATTTGCAAACTGGACTACCTGTAAACTGAGGCGCTGTGAGAACAGCCATAGCTGTAGTTCCTTTACATTGCACTGGTGCAAAAAGACAAAGTGAACGTGGGAGTGTTTGAGGAGGAAAGGGAGAATTGCTGCAAATTCTGGAAGTTGTTACAAAGGCTGAAGGCTCTACATAATGTTTAACTGCAGATGTGTGATCATGTTAGGAAGGCTGGCTTGCCTATGTGGCATCACCATAAGTTAGGAATTTCTCTGTATTTAGGAAATACTAATTTTTAAAATGGTTTACATAAAATTCTGTTCATACTGAGAAAAATTGGAACTTCTGAGGAACTGGGAAATGACTTTGTTATCTGCGCTGCAATTTAGTTTTAACTTTTGTAGTAAACTGTTCCATTTTCCACAGAATATTTATCATCATTATTCAAGCTGGCTCAATTTCACCTTGTCTGCTGAAGGTCATAATTTTCACAAAACTTAGAGTACAGGGAGTCTTCTGGTTTCATGCTTGTCTTCCTTCTCCAGCCCTGAAACAACTCTTCCTTAGCTCTGTTGCTTTTGGAGTAACAAGACATTATTTTTTTTTTTTTTTATTTTGAATGTAATTGACACCAAATGTAGGCATCTTGTAACTGAAGTATGGGGAAAGGAATATACTTTCACCTCCATAGAAAACTAGGCCTGTTCTTCACAGTGCATTTTGATACGCTTTAAGGTTTTTTGTTAATAATCTATGTGGCCCATGGGCTCTGAATAAAATAAATTAGGTTATCTACCAGGAAGGCTGTATTTCTGATCTCTAGGCAGGTTCTCAGCATACTAGGCTCACCCAGCGTTGCAGTGGGAAGACTTAATTTGTGCTTGGAAAAATCATACTGCTTTCAGGGAATGCTAGAGGTGAGACAGAACCTGTTTTTTGACCAAGAATCCTCCCCAAATAACAAGCGGAGATAGTGTCACATAAAGACATACATTCTGATTTGTTTACTGCTGAGTTTGTTTATCTTCTTACTCTGTTTCCGTTCTCCTCAATGCTGCTGCCTCTCTCTAGATGACAGCAGAACCACAAGCCAGCTGGATGAGTTTCAGGAGTGTCTATCCAAGTTCACACGCTACAATTCTGTCCGACCCTTGGCAACACTGTCTTACGCTAGTGACCTCTACAATGGCTCCAGCATAGTATCCAGGTAAGACCTACTGCAGCTCTGACAGTGCGTCTCATGCTGATACGAGCTGCTAAGGCTGAGTTAATAACCTGTATTAAACAAGTTATGGTCTGTACATATATAACACTTTGCAGTCGCTTCCCAAAAACAGTTTTTGCAAATGTGTGATCATCATTGATCTGTGAAGGCACTCAAGTACCACAGTAGTACTTTTTACTCCCATTGGTTTTATTCAAGATCGAATGCAGAACCGTTGAGGTGTATCCTGTGAGCATCTGGAGCTGCTCCAGTGAGCATCTGGAGCTGTTGTGATAAAGCACGAAGCCTGTTGTCCTCTTCGTGCTAGTATAGTTGTGTTTTAAGTGATGCAGTTCTAGCATTTTAAGAAACATCCATCTTGCTTGGTGTTGGTAGCTTTAAGAATCTGTGGTGGTTTTAAATATTGTTGGTGGATCCAGTTGTAATGGCAAATATTAAATAACTGAGTTGTTTGTGATTGCTTGAGCTTGCAAGTGTTGGAAGCTCTGTTTACTGTGCTAAACACTAGTGAGGAGGTGGTTGTGGTAAAGCCAACTCAACAGCTCTATTCTTGCCAACATCAACTCTGTATCCCCTGCTGCGTGGGGCGGTCATGTCCTGTGTGCCACTGCTGAAGCACATCTGAGCCTCCCATGGACCAGTTTGGACACTTTAAGCTGGTGAAATGCTATTGACTGTCTTTCAACAGAATTAGTTTCTTCCAGTTAAGCTCCATGAACCAGCCCCCTTAGGGGCTAAAGAGAGCACGTGGGGTAGGGAGAGGCTGGGATCTGCCAACAGCCCTAACCTTAAACTGAATTCAGCAGCTGTGGAAGCATACCCTGGGGAATTCAATTAGTCTGTGGTAGATTGTTTTGAGCTGGTGGTGGTGGAAAAAATGATACAACATGTTAACTGGGAAATCTTTTCTACATGGCATTTATGTAGGACCCATTAGCTTCTTGCAGGCACGTTTCACAAATTTAAATGTGTTTGTTCACAGCAACCTTTTGAAGGGAGAGAAGTAGTATCATCTCTATTTTATACATGGTGAGCAGGAGATCTGAAGTGGCCATACCTGAGGTCTTGAAAGAAACATGACAATGACATAATGAATTGAACATAATTGAACTTGGATTTTCTGATTCTTGATCTAGTACCTTATGAAGGAGCCATTCGGACAGAGACAGAACATCTTGAATGTTTGTTGAAAGACCCAAAGAAATTTGCACTATGTGAAGAAATGGAGGCATGTGTAACAGCATAGAACACCTATTTTTTTTAAAAGCAGCATGGATTCCTTAACTACTGCAATAT